AGATATACTGCTTTCTGCTCCACTGTCCATCCATTCATCTCTGCCAGGAGCTCAAATTGTGCTCCATATGCTTCCCATGGTGCCTTCCCATCGAATTCCTGTGTCTTCCTTCATACTAGATCACCCCTATTACTGACACTCATGTCTGGAATGTGACTTCTGGGAGGACTGAAGATGTCTGCATTAGGGTTTAGCTGCGGGGTCTGGAAGGGGCTTCCTGTTGTCTGGAGCTGATTAGGTCCATGATTAATATATCCTCTCTGTGTAAGAGACAGTAAATCGTCCTTTAATGTATTTAATTCACTTTGAAATTTACTAATGTTTTCCATTTGTGTGTGCTGGCTTTCTCTCAACTGTTGGAGATTTTCTTTCTCCTCCAACCACTGCTGTAGTCCCTCTTCTTGTTCATTTTATTTCTCCTCCAACCACTGCTGTAGCCACTCTCTTTGTTTCTTTTCTTTCTCCTCCTACCACTGCTGTAATCTCTCTTTTTGTTTATTCTCTCCTTCTTTTTGTTTCTTTGCTGTTCTTGTATTGCTGCCATCAAATCTGCTAAGCTGTAGTTTGATTTACCACTTCTCATTTCCATCTTATTTTTTTTTTTTCGTCCCACTCTCTGACACCAATTAGTTACGTATCTGCTCGTTTGTTAATTTCCGGTGTAAATTATTTCCGAGGAACTCAGCAATACAATTATAACTAGTTTATTCTTTCTTGATACAACTTTGTAATACACAGAATTTCCACTGTCAGTTTAAACTGAACAACCTTTATAACACACGCTATAAATCACAGTGGTTCACACACATGACTTACGGTGACTACTGTTTGCTAGACTCAATTATCTCTATCTTCAGTCTATTTGTCGCTGGCTTTTATACTAAAAAAGAAGGCATCTAGCAAACACTGGGACATTCATGAGATTCCCCAATAAGTCATGATCCTTCTAGAAACTCCAGCGCTCATGCTTCCAGCTTCACGTGATTTCCGCTGTCATAACTGTATATTAGCATATCATTCACAGTCACACTAATTTATCTGTCATGTGACTATTTTTTTAGGTATCTGTGCAGTACTGCATGATACTTTAATTAATACTGAGTAAGGTGAAAGTAGGTAACTAGACTAGAAGTAGTTTTTTAACTTGGTGTGAAGTTAAACTTAGTGATTGTGCTGTGAGTAAAACCAATGTGCCAATAAGAAGTGTGGCACATGTAAATACTCAAAATATGTAGGTTACATAATGTGGAATATACATCTTGCATTATCCTAGAGAGCACAGATAACCATGGTGTAGCTTTACACAAACTTTCAAGCAAACAAAACCATTATCCAAGAGAAGGTTGTATACATCTAAGGTGTATTGCATTTATAAAAAGAAAGGAATTTCTCCAAGACTGAAAACAGCAATTTTACACCACAAGACTTAAACACTTTAAACACTTAAATTACATTCTCTGTAAAGTTTGTACCTTTGTAAACAGTTACAATATTACTTTAGTGATTGTAAAAAAAAAGACAATCCTGAGACTCCTCCATAATTAAAAGTTAGATAATCAACATGGTAAACCAAGTACAACATATGAAAGTTATGCTGGAAAGAGTGGTTATGATTAATGATGTTTGAACAAGAAAATTTAATTTAATGAAGTGGAGAGCCAAAGTATCATTACATTATGTCTGAGATTTCCACTCTCTTACAACACTTAAGTGTGTGATAAATAAATTCTTACACTCTTCACATGGAATATAAAAGGGTCAAAGCTTGCTTTCCATCAAATATCAGCTTTTTTTACTGTTTTAGTCTTTCCATGACTTTAACTTTCAAGTCTGAAGACAAAGTATTGGTTGGTTGAAGTAAATAAAATGTCAAGTATATATAAACTGTTTGTTAATTATGGCCCTCAAATTGTTCAATGCACCAGCAAAGACTTCAGGATTGAGTATTATTTAGGTTGCTCGTGTATGTTTTTTTTTATTCTTTATAGATGTTTTCATGAACTATTAAAGTAGATTGAATTATTCATGTCATCAATGTTTATTTTATTTTATTGAGAATAGAAGATGCAATTGTACCTCTAGTATTTGATGTTTTTAAGATGGATTCCAGTGTGGCAATATGGAATAATTTACCAATAATAAGAGCAAAAAGGGAAATTTACAAAAGGCACAAATGATAAGTCTAAGTTACTGATGATTCTTCAACCTGTTATGAAACCACAGACAGGTTCTACAAGATCCCAACTCATGATAAGGATATAAATGAAAAAAAAATGTAGAGAATAAAAGGAATACCAGTGAGTCAAATCATGATACAAAATTGGTGTTTTCATTTTGAGTTTACTTACTGATTATGTATTATTTTATTTAAAGTTACAGCTTTTACAGTAAGGGAGATATTTTGTAGAATGTGTGATGTTTTGATCACTTGTGTGATCATTCTCAAGTACACAAGTTTTATCATCAAAGCAAACAAAGACCATGAACCTGTTATAAATTTTGGAGAAGTTACTAATTTTAAAATTTAATCGTTGTGGAAGTTGCTTGAGAAATTTACTATTCAGAAGTGGGTTAAGTGAATGTTGTTGATTCATTTATAATTTTTTTCAGTATTCTAACAGTGGGTTAGAAAATTGTTCTGTATTTTAAAGTAGAAACAATCTAGAATTGTATTTCCAGTCGATTATAAAGATAATATAGATATATAATCAGTAGCTCACTATTTATAATAAACCAGTATGTTTGTTTGATTTGTTTATAAATGCATTTTAATTTAATGTTTAAACAGGTTAGAGTACCATATTATTTAAGACCTTAAATAGTTCAAATATATTTGTACAATTATGTAGTTTCCACTTACGTGTCAATAATTTTTTTAGCTATAACTTCACTTTACTGGTAAAAAAGGACACAAGATCAGCCTTCACTAGTGTCCATGTGAAAGTAATTGATACGGATGATGATACGGCTTTGAGTATAATAAATAAGCCATATTTGAACAACCTAGTGAATCCAAACAGGGATTTGAATGTGTATTATCTAGTAAATGGATCTATAATTGCTGAATATAACTGTCCAAGCATTATACAAGGTAAGTGGTGAAACTTAATCAATTTTCCCAATAATTTCATTTATATAATAGCTGTATTGATTTTAATGTAGGGATATCATAAATCTAAATCCAACACCTCTATAGTGTTTATGTACAAAACACACATAGGAAGGGTAAAAATGTTATTAAAATAATAAATTTATATTCTTTAATCATTAATTATAGAAATGTATCATACACTTTATTTCAAAACTTATACTGCCATCTATCCTTGAATAGGGAATGTTGCACTTCCCTGTGACTGTCTCCATAAATACATTATAACAAAAGTGTCTGATTATTGAATCTTCTAATCAGACACAGTTTCAGTTTTAACCCTCTGTCTATAGTCTGTAGTGAATGAATACTTGCATCTGTAAACACACTAATCTCAAAGTACTAAACACATTTTGTATACCATGACATGTCAGTTGGTGACCCTCTGATATTGGTACCAAACATCTTGCTTGCTGTTTTACCACTGTTTGCTCTCACAGTGACTCAAGGAGTAGCACATCTGATCACAAGTTTTATTTCTGCTATTTTCCTTTTTGTGTTTGAAATTTTACCATTTCTAATCTTTAAGAGATTTGACCTGTTGTAGTCTTTGTAGATATAATCTTAAAACTTGTTTCTCAGTTGTAAATATTGTTACGACAGTGGAAGTCACGTGACGCTGGTAACACGTAATGAGTATCTAGAAGGTTCAAGACGCTCTCTATTTTGTAAATATAAGACTGGCAAATAAAGTGGGGGAGGATAATTGCAGACAGAGAGATATAGAGACAGATAATCGAGTCAAGCCGTATGTAAAGTGCATGAATCGTTGTGAATTATAGCGTGTGTTTAAGTTAAAGTGACTGTGAAAATTAAGTGTATTGCAAAGTTGTATTGAGAAATAATAAACTAGTTTTATTTAAGAAAGGACTTGTATTGCTGAAGTTTTTTGGAAGGAATTTTTACGGGAACTTAACAAACGACCAGAGACGTAACAATATGTTTAAGCAAGGATGGTTTGTTCAACATTTCACTATTATTATTATTATTATGAAGAAAACATGTTTCATTAACCTATGTACTATGTGTTACGTATTAGAATTTCAAATGGTCTGAAACTGAGCTAAATGATACTTTGAATTTAGTAGTTAAATTAAAGCTGATATATTTAGTAGCTGAGTAAAAGCCGATATGTAGTCAGTTTATGATATTTGCCAACAAGATTGATACACACAGTTTTATTTTCTAAAACAAATATGTTTTAATATATACACAACAATACAATTTACAATAAAGATTATTACAAATAGTTATTACCAACAAATTATTACAAGTTTTAACTTGATAAGAAGGTTTTGAAAAATCCTATAAAAAGTTAAAATAAAAACAATTGTGGATCAAACTATAGTGTTTTAGAACAATTTCTTAGATACCTTTGTATGCCTGTTCATTATTAGGTTCATGATAAGACAAAGTATTAATTACAACTTTTGAATTTTTTGGAAACAGATTAATTCCTTTGCAAATAAAACAAAGCCAATGTGTTTTACATAGCTTACTAATTTTATACTGCCAAAAAAACAATGTTACAATATTTATGAAAGGTATTTTTTACATAAATGAAATCAAACATAGAAACTAAGTTTTTCAAGGCTGTTAAAGAACCTTTTACTTTTACGGTTACATTCTGATAACAAATACTTGTAACTAATTTTATCTTTTAATTGCTGTGTTTGTGTTTCTTTATATGTTTTTATTATGAATTTTATGACCTAAATTTTAAATTGGAAAAGGAAACATAAAATAAATTAAAAAGGCTTACAATTTTGAAGAATTCACATTAGTAACAATATTTATGAGGATGAAATTAAAATTTTTCTGCTTGTATAAACATTAATTCTTGTACCAAATAGTTAAAGCTTGAATATAGGATTTGCATTTTTTTTATTTTTGGAAACTAATGCAGGTAAAATAATTTTATGTTCTAAATACTATTGGAAACATGTAAACAAACTTACTGTGAAGTACAAGTAAAAGAAAGAAGAATTTATAACTTTACATGCTTTCTTATTCTTTAGTTTTGTATTGTGGGTATATAAATGCCAAGCAAAAGAATAGTGTTACAACAGTGGAAGTCACACAATGCTGGGAATATGCATGCTGGAGTTTCTCGAACGATCATGTATTTTCCTGGCAACTCTAGTTTGTTCCAGGCACCCTCTTTTTTAGTATATAAGCCTGGCAAAAAAAGATAGAATTGTGGAGATAGATAGATATAGAGATAGATAATTGAGTCTAGCAAACAGTAGTCACCATAAGTAAAGTGTGTGAATCATTGTGAATTATAGCTTGTGTTTATAAAAGTAGTTAAGTTAAAAGTGACTGTGGAAATTCTGTGTATTACAAAGTTGTATCAAGAAAGAATAAACTAGTTTTATTTAAGAAAGGACTTGTATCACTGAAGTTCCTCGGAAATATTTTATACCGGAAATTAACAAATGAACAGAGACGTAACAATAGCTTACTAATGGTAACTAAATATTTCATTGTGGTGCCTATTATTTTCTCCCATTTTGTTTTGTGTGCATAGGGATGTGTAAAATAGAACTCAAATCTAGAACAATTCTGGACTCTTGGAAGTCTAGAACTATTTTTACATTCTTTGAGTCTGAAATCAAACTTTGTTTCTAAGATTTTAATGCTGGATTCAGCTCTTCATGTTTATTCAGGAATGAAGCACTGTGATTACACAATATGTTACTAATTTTGGTCCATTTTGTTTTTCTTCTTTCTTTCAATTCAGTCAATCTTTGCGTATGTTTAGACTCGTTCAGGACAAAGGCAGTTAAGTCAGGCAATACTATCAAGTGGTTGTTGATCTCATGTGATGATTAGCATGCACTGTTGCCATGAAAATAAATAAATATAGCCCTCAGTAGTGAAGTTAGGTTAGTTAGGTTTATTGTTGTACATTATTGTAGTGATGAGTAGATTAGACCTATTCTGAAACAACCTGCTTGGCCTATCAATGTTGCAGTGATTATTTTTATTTTACTTTCATTCATTGCAAGAATCCACCTAAGTTATAGTTATTTAGTTTACTATTTTAATAATTACACATATTGAAGTTTTAACTTTAATAATGAACTCATTATTTTTTACTGTATATCTTGTACCATAACCACACAACTGACTCAAAATGTATTCCATAACTGAATTATAAACATTGTTTACAAATCTTTTCACTTTATTTTATACAGTTTTTTCATTTAATAACATTCAAATTCTGTAAATTGGATTGGATCAAATCCATACTTATTCATCCCATTTTCTTTTTGTTTTTAGGTTTTTACTGTATTGATTTTAGATATATGACTCATTATCTCCATGACTTCTTTGGAGATTTATATTATGTATTCATCCCTGCTGACAGAATGTCAGCCAGAAGATCATATTTTATACTTTTCAAATCTCTTGATAAGCTATTTTCAAATGGAGCTCATGTTCTGACTTTCACTACGGCAGCTGATCCATTCATTGGTACTTTAAAGGTTAGTATGAATTTATTCTTTTCATCAGATTTCAGTCATTTTACAGTTTTGCATTAGTAATTCAAGATGAAATATGAAACATCGTTCATGATGAGTAAATGAGAAAAATCACTCCAAATTTTGATGATGCTTCATTTAATATATAAAACTTTAATAAGACAGTATCGTATCTTAAAAGCAAGCTATCTCATCGCAATTTATTAGAATTGTGGTTGTGAGGATTATTATTTCATTTAGATTGACATATCTTTTTCTGTATAAGCATTTATACCTTAACTTTACATTGACATTTGTAAGTGTACATTAGCTAACACAATTATTGAGTTTAAAATTTTTACTAATGTCACTAGATTTGTATTGTCGGCATAACATATGGAAAAAAAGAGAGAATTTTGTCCTTTAAAACAGTCCCTGCACACCCCACCTTAAGAAAAAGTAAACATTTAATCCCATCATTTATTTTTCAAGAAATCATTAATTCCCCTTTTAACACTTTCACTATTGAGGATGTGCATGTGCATTTAGCGTTCAATTGGATGTGTTAATAAGGAACATGTGGATTGTTAATGAAAAAATTAAATATTAGATGTTCTAGATTTGTTATCATGCTATTGTGTAGATCAAAAACACAATGATATTGCACTAAAACTCTTATCAGCACTTGCCATAGATAATGCCAAGCATTGCAGCTGTTAATGTGTTAAACTCTTGTAAGGTTATGGTCTTCTCTAATGCCAATGACATCTCAGTGAATAAGCCAATCATCCTGTTACAACTCTTGTAAGGTTATGGCCTTCCCTAATGCCAATGACATCTCAGTGAATAAGCCAATCATCGTTACAACTCTTGTAAGGTTATGGCCTTTCCTAATGCCAATTACATCTCAGTGAATAAGCCAATCATCCTGTTACAACTCTTGTAAGGTTATGGCCTTCCCTAATGCCAATGACATCTCAGTGAATAAGCCAATCATCGTTACAACTCTTGTAAGGTTATGGCCTTCCCTAATGCCAATGACATCTCAGTGAATAAGCCAATCATCGTTACAACTCTTGTAAGGTTATGGCCTTTCCTAATGCCAGTGACATCTCAGTCAATAAGCCAATCATCCTGTTACATAAACAAAACTATCTTCATTGGACACTAGCCTGTGTTTTCCAAAACTTAAACTTGTGTCCTTTCATCCTTGAGAAAATGGCACAGAGAAATCAGAAGCTTTCCTCTATTGATTCATAAATCAAAACATTTTTGCTTTCCACTAATAATTAAGATCCAGGTTTAACATCAGTGCTTTAATCTATATTCACCTGCCCACTGTATATTGATCTACTAGAATGAAAGGAGAGGATTGAATATCTGCTCTTATGGATTTTAGTCAGTCAATCTTTCTACTCACCACCAAAGGATTAAGGCTATGATAAGGCAATAACTGGGATTTCCTGCCATTTTTGAAGTTTCTTTGAAGAACTTGTAGATCCATTTTTTTAGAATATTGAACATGCTGAAGAATATTGTAAAATTTGTTTCAACAAAAAAAATGAAAAATTTCAACTATTTTTTACACCGAAAAGAAACCAATTACAAGTACAACTATAAATAGATAATGTTAACGTGCAGTGAATCTGTGTTTAATATTGTGTGTGTGTATATTTTTGAATTTGTCAGAATCTCAAGTAGACCTATTAACATCACTTAAAAAACTGATTTTGTTAAAGCTATTTTCAAAGAATAAAATGTTTTATGTTTGATAAATAATTAAAAAATTTTTTATAATGTAAAGATACTTCCAATGTGTACTAACTGCTACAGTTGAAATTAATAGAAACAAAATTCTGTATTATACTGTCTTCAAATAAAAGATGACATAAAAAATAACTTGTTGTTAAACAAATGTTTAAACAACTCTATTTATTCAAAAATATCTATTTTACTTGTGTTCACAATAGTATATTTTTATTTCAGTTATGAATTACTAACAATAGATGGAATCACAGGCAACTAACAACAATACCCATAGGCCTTAACTTAAGACTGGTCTTGAAAAACCACTTGTATGGTATTTTAAGATAATATTGAGTTGTATATGCATTACAACTTATATTAAAATATTATGAACATTCTCTGAAAAATAATGTGTTTATATTTCTTTTGAAAAGTAGTTTTTAAAAGGCTGCCTCAATAATTGATTTCTCTTCAAAAAATTCAAACTAAAACAATATACTAGTGTAGTGTTAGAAGGTATTCATTAGGTAAAATGCATTATTGCGTGGCCATGGAAAAATGTTTCATCACATCTTGAAAACTGTGTTTAGCTATATAATATTCATAAGTATGAAATGTTCACTTCTGATATGAAATCTTAACTCCTCTCACAAAAAAGCTTTCTCAGCTTATACTGCCTTCTGTCGGTGCAAATTTTGCTTGCCACTAGCCTTGATACTCCAACTTATCTTTACTTACTAACATGCAAATAAGTATGTAGCAACTCTCCACCAATAGATGTGCCTAACTAGCGCCCTCTCAAATCTAGCAGCTGTTAACCACTTCTCCATTGGCTGTGTTATTGTATAGATGTGTTTTTGTTTGTGGTTTGATTCCCTTATTTACAAGTTCTTGTTTTCTTAATTTTATAACTTTAATTACATTGTTCTCTTCCATTTTCATTCTCTTTTGTGAAGAGTTATGAATTATTTTATTTATCTTCTCTCCTCTTTCAATTTTGCAAGATATGCACTCGCAGTTTCAGATATTCATGACTACAACTGCTGCTGTTGAATTACCGACCACATCCAACTGGTTGGAATCACAATTCTCAGATTGTGAAGTGATAGCTCTGGTCCATCAGGAGTTTACTAATTTCATGCAACAATTGGAAGAAACTGATGATTATCGTATCATGGTTTTCAGTGATTGGGAACTTTTTGATTTGGACAGCCTTTTTCCCCCTTCCTGAATATTATTCCTCTCAGTCACGTGTTGTTTTGGGAACTTACCCAGATCTCTTTCCCCTATTGTTGATTTGATTATTTAGGTATGTTATGTTTTGTTCTAATCTACTGTTTCCTACGTTCTACCTCTGCCCTTCTTGGGAACAAGCATTTGGGTCATTATTTTAGTGTTTCCTCTTTCCCTAGATATTGGGATTCATGTGAGTTGTTTTGGGGAGCATTTGCATTCAGGGGTTAGTTTTTCTCCACCTCACACATATAGTAAAGATCATGTCTTTATCATCATTCAAACTCCCCTTATTTGGGGCTTGGACCCTCATTATTGAATTACCTTTCCCATATTTGTCTTACTCTGACCACCCTTCTTGGGCTGGTGTGGGCCAGACTCCTTCAATATGCTAATATTTGTAGGTAATTGGTGGTAGATCCATGGTTTCTGAAGGTTGTTTCAGTAAGTCTGATCCTCTACTTCCATTCATCTCCTCTGTTGTCTCACAATCCCATTTCTTTCCCTCCTCCTCAGGATCCCATTTTTTGTCCACTTGATTCATTCCAGGGCCCTTCGTTTCCACTGTTCTATGTAAGTATGGAAGCTTCTTTTGTTCTCTCAAGACAACTCAGTCCTACATCCTTAGTTTCTTCTCCAGAACGCTATCATGGTGGGTTGACTTGTCAAAGTGAAGCTGTTATTCCCCCCACCCACACAATTTTTTGGTTCGTCTTGGGATGTTTTTAATTCCCTCCTCCATTGGGCCCTGCTTGCTTCATTTCAGTTTCAAGCTATGGATTGTCTAGTATGCAGCATTTCATCCTCTTCTTCTCCTATTGCACAAGAGGTTCTCTCTCTCTTTTGAGGACATGGACTTCTCTCAAAGTCCTCATTCCTCTGAGCTATGCCCTCATGCATCATCATCAGTGGGTTTTAATAGACTAATGGAGCTTTGTTTGTGATCCCTTAGATGCCCCTCTTACCCTTCCTCCTCCCTTACAGACTGACTTCGACTGGTGGTTAGATGAGAACGATACTACCGTTGGTGTTACTCTTCCTCCTTCTCATCCAGAATGTCACCTTTTATGGATGTTCCTTTTTCTGGTTGGGGGAGGGGGTGTATCTCAGGAGGTTTTGAGGCAATGGTACCTTTCCCAGTCCTCTCTCCATATCAATCTCTTGGAACTTCTTGCTGTATGTTGGGCTTTCTGTCATTTCCTATGGGCTCCTAGCGGCCAATTCATAATAGTTCCCTCTGCATTTCTTGGTTAACAGATCTCTGTTCTCAGACATTAGATCCTATGTGTTGGGCCCACTGCTTTCCCATAACTTTGTTGCCATGTCATAATCCGGGTGTTCTAAATATGGTTGCAAGTTGGTTATTCCATCCCAACACATTTTTCCCATCTGGAGTGGTCTTTTGATCTACATGTTTTTTGGGTTTTGTGTGCTCTGGGGGGAGTCCAAGATTTGGATGCTTTTGCCACTCTTCTCAATACACCACTTCCCAACTCTTGTTCTTCATTCTCTGGCAGGAGCATTTCAAGCTGTCAGTGGGAATGGTCAGGTTGGTGTCTGGATGCATATTCTCTTATTTGTCTCCTCTCACATGTCCTTGCCATACTTTAGACCACTTCAGGTAGTGTTCTGCTGGGGGTTACGTATTGGTCGGTCCACACATGGTTTCTTTTGCTGCATCAGTTTTTGATATCACTTCCTTTATCTCTGACACTCCTCCATAAGCCACACTCCAGCAGTATCATCCATCTGTACCTGCATTCCATCTTCATGAGTGGCTTTGTCCAATCCCTTGCCCAAAGGGGCAAATTTTTACATGTAACTTCTCTTTTGTTTTCCGTCCTGTTCATTCTGCCTTTGATCTGTCCTAAGGAGTTATCATCTTTCCCATCTTATAGTTCTTTATATACCATCCTTTTTGCCTTGGCTTTTTAACCAAGGCCTTTTGTTTTTCTCTGTTGTGGGCTATATGGTGGTGTTATCTACCACTTTACAGTTTCATGACTTTGCTTGTGTTTTCCAGTTGCCAGGGTCTTATCCATGTTGTTTTGTTTCTTCCATTTTTCCCATCTTCCCTGCCCTCTTTCCCTTTCTGATTGAACCTATTGTCTTTGTATTCTTTAAATCACTTTTCCTTGAAGTCCCTGTTCCTGCTTTTGTTGGCATGCAAACATTGTTGTTCTGATGTGTTCATGATTGATGTTTGCCATGCTTTTTGTTTCTCAGTACCTATGTTCTTCTCTTTCCTGCTCATTCCTTTATGCCCAGGGAGAGGGTACTTCTCCCTTCTCTCACCTTTATGACTGTTCACAAGCATCAAGAGGCAAGACACAAGTGAGCAGGATTGTCAGAATTTTTCTGAATGTCCAATTTTTTTTTTATATTTAAGAATATTTCAAGTGCATATTAAGGATATGTATATATACCAATAAATTAAACAAAAATTAACTTGTTTTATATACAATTTTTTGTTATATCAAGGCATTGTGCAGTTGCAAAATGTTCCAATGTACCATGTGCTAAAGCTATTGATTGCAGATTCTATATACATTATAGATAATGATTACTTATATTCAGGTAATACATACTTTGTAAACACTGGTTGAACTTACACAATCTGCTTCTAAAGTGATTAGCAAGAAGGCTAATTTAGAAATACTACCTACTACTACTACTACGAACTACTGGTACGTATTTCGGTTTGAAGGCTTCCTAGTAAAGCTTTTGAAGACAACTGGGAGTGCTCAGAAACAGCTGTTCTCTTTGGTCTCACTTGAGGTTAAGGTGGAGGCAGAAACGTGGCTGTAAAGTTATAGATAAGTGGTTGTACTGGGGACTCACACCTCAAAGAAAAGTCCAATCTCAGACTAGCTAAACAAAATGGGCTGTGTTTATATTACTGGAAACTAAGCATGTATTAGTTACTGTGTAAATATGGTAAACTAGGAAATAAGATGTTCATATGCTCTTGCACACTTTTACACCTATACTGCTAAATCCTAACAAGTTTATTTGATTGTATCAGATTTTGTACAAAGCCATATTGTAAATATTTTCTCTCACTTTTATATAATACTTTAGACAGTGCTCTTTGCCATCACTGTACTACAAAGAAGCCAATAAACCCTACACCACTGTGTTTTCGAGGCTGTGAAAATTCTGGGAATTGTGCAGCATGAGCTATTTGCTATTGACTGTGTCAAAATACAGTACCACATAAACAATTTAATGCCAAGGGTGGCAATTCAATGCTTTATTTTCGAAATATTTCTACTTCAGCCACTAACAGTAAAATAAACAAAATAGGTGTGAAAATATTAGGAGTAGAAATTCTCTGTAGATTTACTTTAGAACTTCGTGGTCCATACTGAAAAGTTTTGACAGTACTATTCATTTTGTTTTGAGTTTCTAAGTCAGCTGCTAACAACATAATAACTACAGAAAATAAGTGTGAAAAGGTGAGAAGTATAAACTCTGACCATAAGTTGTTTGGAACTTTGTGATCAATACTAACAGAACTACACATTTTATTTTGCAATTTGCAACCTTTTCTTTTATTATACTTTGATTACTTCCCTGCAACCTGGATGAAAGGGTTAATGATTCTTTGTCTTCTTTCTTCTAGAGGTGGGCAAAACCTTATGAAGTTAGAGATTTTAAGCTTAAATTTGCTCAAAATAGTGAGGGAATGACATTCCAGCTAAAAGAAGAAAAAAAAAGGTAAGGGAAAGCTGTCTCCACACCACTACACAACTACAGGGGCCTTTATCACATATTCAGATCCCACTTTGTGGAGAGCATTACCTGATCAGGTAATACTTAGGCTCAAATCCACACTGTAAAACTTGTGATTATATACTATTCTGGATGATTGTGACATTGAGGCTCTTCCTACTGCAGACTGATGTACAATTTCAGATACTGCCAGGTGTTGATTGATCGATTCTGTAATGTGTTTTCTATGCATCGAAGTACAATATCATAACACGTCACAAGGTCATGTTACACACACACTGTTGAGATGGGGTGTTCCACAGGACTGCTCGTAGATATCCCTCACAGTCTGTTGCCTCATAAATGTTTGTCTCTGACTGTGTATTCATGGACTAACATGAGTAAAGCAGACAAGGATTACTGCCTGCCTATGATGATCTATGGCATTGAGGCTCTTTCTACTGCAGACCTAATGTATCTCAGTCACCCATTGCACTGTCTCTGGTGCTATGTTCCTTCAGACTTCCCAACTCATTTTTTTCCTCCTCATTCTAGTAGAGCAGTGGTTCTCAAACAGTGCGCACTGGTGCGCCCCAGAGCTTTTTCAGGTGCGCTCCGTAGCATTCCTGAAAAATCTATCCAGATATGAAAAGCAAATGTATACTAAGTTACTATGTTATACCATTTCTTTACGAACACTCTGCTTGTTTCGTTGATAGTTATAAGTTATTTTTCTTGCAACTAGCTTCTGGTCCGCAAGTTTTGCACGCGTTTAAAACACGTAACAAACGTGGCTGGAAT